TATATCAGTTTGTTCTATAATTCATGCTAAATATTACTTCAAAAGATATTTCTAAACATAGAATATGAGCCTGCGAAAGTATATTTTTCCAATTTTTCGCAATTTTTCCGGAGAAATTACCACTAATTGAAATTTTTCGGAAAATTACCCAACAGTAATAACAACGTACATATTAATAAATAATAAACATTATCTAACATCTTGTCAATAACTACATACGTATTATTATATTAATAAATAGCAACCGGAAATGAAGTAGTTAATTTGGCTAAACTAAACAATAGCGTGGTAATTTTGTTTCACAAATCCTGGAACTTATCGGAACTTTGTATGTGGGATATTCATGGTTGTGCACGATGTTGTATACTTATTACCATTACGCACAAGTGAATTCAAAAACTATTTTTAATAGTTAACCTTAACTGCGACTGATGTGCCATTTCGTTGAACTGGTTTATGTCTTCCCGTTATCAGGTACTTAAGGATCCCCCACTTCAAATTTGTATAGGTGCTAATATAATACCAAGATAACTTCAGCTTTCACGCCGTCGCGTCGTCGAGCCATGGAGAATATTTTTTAACCCTTAATTGGTCGCGCCAAAAAAAAGTTACGCAATAGGTCGTGTGGGGTGTGCAACACCCTAAATTAGAATCGTGAAGTAAAATACGACATATCTTACGGAATTTCGTCTACATAAATAGTCGCGTGGGGTGTTATGCACCCCAAACACGCTCTCTAAGCACAACTTTACTCAGTCGAGCGCAGATTACGAATGAATTGTAAACTACAATCCGTTTTACGAAGCTAGCCATAAGACAGGTGCGTAAGTTCAAATTTTAAAAACTTATGAGCCCAGAAACCTGCGTTGGGGTGTAAAGCACCCCACGCGTACTATCAAGGGTTAAAAATAATTATCTATGTAATAAGAGTTCGAGCTTACAATTTGTTAATCTATGGAACCATCGAGGAAACATTTAATTTATTCGTTTATACGAACATATACATTTTACAGAAGACTATGTCCCGCCAAACTTAATAATTAACTAGGTACAGGGTCAAGCGTACGTCAAGCTTGACACTTAAAACTTAAATCCAACTCTATGCCGCTTACAATAAGAACGGTCTAAATTACAAAGTGTCAAACTTGAAGTGCTCCTGACTGACTGACTACAATAACAATTATAATAATACTTATACATAAAAATGCACTTTTATACTTACAGTAACGAAATAATTTATCTAATTTTTTTTTAAACAATTTCATTCATTACATAAAGATAAGATAAAGTTTTTTTTTCTAAGATATAGTTTTTGATTCATTAGAGCCTTTTTAACTTTTATAATTTGCTTTCTACTATGTAGGGCTTTCTTTTGAAAACCCCATTATCATTAAACAGGGTTAATTGTAAAATGCTACGAACTTTGCAGGACTATAATACCATCATCATAAACAACTTTTGTTCGCAGGTTTATTTTAACAGTAAACCTGTTTATACGAGGTACTACATATGTATTTAGCCTCTGTGTTCAAACATTTGTTATTCGATTTGAAGTGGGAAATTAAATGTTGAATAGGGTTTGTTAAGTTTTATTATAGTATTGAATTCCAATGCAGTATAAATAATTTTTGAAGGGGCGTATTGTAAATAACTTTGTTTGTTTTATAAGTGGGATCATTATTAGCTATTAGAATTAATAGAACTGTTTATAAAAATAACGATTTATTATATTCAATAAATTCTTTGTTACCATTACGATTTTTTTTTTCACACATAAACCTTTATAATTTATGATCCAAGTATTGGATCGGCGCCCCCGTCTAATTGGTATCGTCACTTTGGCAGAGTGCTCTCTGTTGAAACTGCGATCATCGCGCCTTTTGTGGCAAATGAACTCGAATATAAATCCGAATCAGTTCTAGACGACATTCTGATGTTCGTCGGGCACGTACTTGTACTCCACGGGTATTTGATTCTTAACACCCCAGAGGGACTGTCATCCGAAACCGATTTCCAGGAACTAACACGTCACTGCCTGTGCATTCGCTGCCATTAAAAGGAATAAGGTAACTGCCACTTGATGCCTGTGCTGTTTTAAGGTTCAATACTGTGCACGTGGTTTTACTGTTTGTATTTCTTTCGCAAATAGAAAATCCGTATGATGTGCTGATTTAGGCAGAATTGTTGTAGTTGACGTACAACGGCTGACAATAACAGTGTCTGCGTCATACGCCTTGATGCTCGAGAACAATTCGCCTGATAGTCCATCGCAGGTCCAACTCGAACATTCCGTCGTAAGGAGTTATGTCGGCTGTCGGTGTGATAACAAGAGTACGATGTTCCCTGGTTGTAACAAGCATTTTGCCATTTTGTTAAGCAAAAATCCATTCATGCCGTGTGGATTTTGGACATTATATCTATTGGATAGCAGTCGTTGGCTATTTCGAGCAACCATCTATATTGTTGCATCGAGAGAACGAGCATGGCGATGTACTCACGTGGGTTCATAGCGAATTCCGAAATTTACTCTCTTGGTATAAAATGTGCTGCAGAGCGTTGAGCCTCTTCACTAGAACATGCTTATATTCTATTTCTTCTACATCTATTAAATTATGTTATCCATTTAAGTTTAAATAGTGCTCAATGCGCTTTTAGTTTTTGTAATTGTTCTGAAAAATTTGCATCCCGTTGTGTTTGTTCAATGTTTGTTTGACGTTTTCGCATAAATTTGACGATGACGGTAAATTTTTGAATGTTTTTTGACGTCAATTTGACTGCTTATGACTTTACTGATTTTCTGTCGAAAAGATTGCAATCGTAATACCAAAATTAATATAACACCAATTTCCTAAAGAGAAATGATGGCTTATTCCCATTTGTCACCAATGGCAACAATAGAGATATATTTATCCCATTTGTCACCACCTGGTAACATATGGGTTTTTTTCCCATTTGTCCACCTGGTAACATATATGATTTTTTTTCTCACTTGTCGCTAGTAGAAGTCGCCACTGGCAACAACTCAAATTTTTTATCTCGTTTTTCATCACCTGGTAACATATCTATGGGTTTCTTTCCCTTTTGTCGCCAGTGGGAACAAAGCCAGTGGTGACAACCCGAAATGCTGACTACAATCATCCGCAACTTATGAGGCAAGGTACGTACAGATTCGAGGCCCTGCTGTAGTGCCAAAATGCTAAGATACTCTGACACCGACGCATAAAGATAATGTTGGGTTATTCATTGTTAATTTTCATAGAGCAATTTTAGGTAAAAAGGTGGAGCCTCAATCTCAGTTATACTTTCAAATTAGTAGTAGTTTGGGCATGACGTCAGCATCTATTGATTGACCCTTACGACACAACGGTACCTGTGGTGTGAAAATGTGAAAGGAAACAATACGTTTTGTACAAAAATAATTGTTTAATTAGCATATATTTACATTGACAATTATTTCAAGTTTATATGCTTACGTACATTGTGACATTTGTATTTCATTTATTTTAGCTTATTCATTACTTGCAATAATTTAAAGATTCAGTTATAGATAATGTCACTAGGATGGATTGTCTCAGATAAAAACTTAACGATAAATCTTCAGTAATCTAATCAATCACGAAGAGATATGGCAGGTGTGGTCATGAGGTTAGTACTTAGAACATGTGAGCATTAAGTACATTGTAGGTACCAAGAATGATCCTTGGAGAACACACTATATCTTAAAATTAAATGTAAGCCAAAACAGACACTAAAACAAAACGGTTCATTGGAAACAACAAAAGTTATATGCGAAAACTCCCACATAGATCCAATTTAATTAAACTATGAATGTTTTTTCTATTTCGATATGGTAGACAATATCAAAGGCTTTCTAATAGTTTTTACAATAGCACATTTACTTTCTCTCTTGTTGCATGGTTCCCGGATTCTAATAAATCAATGTCCAAGAATGTCTTTCCCAGGTCTCCAGTGCGGAACGCTTTAATCATCATTCTGGCAGTCTCTAGAAGATCCGGGACATCTCGCATTGAGTTGTCGTAGTCGCGGGTTCTTCGTATCCTATTGAATTTAATTGCTCCTGATATTAGTACCTGAAATAAGAAATTTCAAGAAATATAATGGAAAGCAACAGCCCAGGATGTAGGTATTTATAGGTAACAGAAAATGTAAACATTGACGAGTGACTTATAATAAATACACACGGCCAAAATACAGAGAAAGGAATAATAATTAGAAGTCGAAATGATGAGCTTTCGGCATCAATGTTCATGTCGTCAGTGGAACAAATTTGTTCTTTTAAGTTTCGCAACATAACGCTTAAATTCCTTAGGCTAAGTTCAAATGACATAAATTTAACGCGCGGTCTCAAATCGTATATATTACATAGTCTTCATATGTTGATGTGAGGTATCGCTGCGGTCAGAGGTAATACTTCAATACGCGCGTCACCGCTTGATCTATTAGCTTGTTCAGTATTATAGGCGCTCACAGTATACCTGTTCAGACGATCGTGGGTTAGCGTTCACTGTCTGCGTCCTGTTCAATACTTCCGCCATCTGAACGTTCCAACGAGTGTCTACGCGCGACATTGACTTTTGTTTAGTGCAATCGCACCCAACGTTAAGCGACGATATTACGCATTAAGTGTTACGCACAAGGCACACACTAGACCAATGGTTACTATTTATTATAATAGCCACAAACTGTGGTTTAAAACTATTATCGAATTTACAAGACGAGTTCGATAGATGGAAGAGACCCACCACTTACTTTGTTAATATCATCACAAGGTTTCTCTAGTCCCATGTAGTCGACATATCTGAAGTGATTGTGCTTGTTTAGCCAAAACAGCAGGTAGTCAGCAATGGTTTCTTCACCGACGAGATGGTCCTGCAAGGAGGCGCACAGGGCCAACTTTAAACCGGCCTCTATATCGCTTACTTTCGGTTCTAAAATACCTGAAATTTAATAACATGTTGATTGTATTTATACAAGAATAAAACAATAATAATCTGGTTTTCGTTTATAGGGACATGTATACTGGTAGCATTCCTTGTAAATCATCAATTTAGAATTTTAAGTAAAGACTCGAACTTCTTAGTTACAGGCTCTTATCACTGCCACGTCGTTATGCATGAAGATTAATTTGATTATATGATTTGCTGCACTTACTTTGTATGTTAATAAAAATAAAAGTTATAATATTTTTGATGAATGTTGAAATTGTATAACAAAATATATACAGGCTATGTTTTTGATATTTTTATATTATTTCTATATAAAGTATGTACCTACCTACGAGAATAGATAAGTTTACAAACAATGTGAAGTGGGTTGTTCATATTTTAGATTCCCGCCTCTCCCGAATATTTAAATGGGAGAGATTACATTCTATGACAGAGGCAGCCTGGGTCAGGGACTCAGGTTAAAAAATCGACGTACAATACATGCCGTATCAAGTAGGACCGCCTTCTGCATTTGTTCTGAAAGCGACACGCCACAGAAATTCAACCGCCTCAAGCTGCTAACGATGCTGACTAGAATTAACCAGTTTGTGGACAAAAGAATTGGGATTATTCAGTGGAGGCCACATCCCACATGTCGGTGAACTCGTGCGCCAGATGGAGATGCTTCAGACGTTACTTGGTTTTGGCTTTCACGAGGTCCTCGTCATGCGGGATGGTAACGTCCACAACGAAATTCCCTCGACTGCTATCAATTCAATATCATAATATTAGGCATATTCGCAAGATATAGAATATTCTCAAACAAAACTTGCTGTTCTATGAGGGCTATTGTTTGGTGTGGTGTTAAGATATCACGCCAAGTTTTGTTGCATTCCATAAACACTTAAAATGAAAACCCTGTAGAGGGTTTTCATTGTTGGTAAGTAATTACCCGAATTGACTGAATCAATTTGGGCATCTTGTTGGAGTAACTTGAGCAGCTAGCAGTAGAAAGACGGAAAACAGAGCTAACAATGAATTTCTCCAAAACTAAAGCTTATTACAAATAGACATAAACACATGGATGAATAATTATGTCTATCTAGCGTAAAGTCTTCAACACATGCATCCTATCAGTGCTCACATACGGGTGCTAAACATGGAGCTTGACTAAGTCTCTCAGCCAAAGACTAAAGGTGTACCAACAAGGGATGGAGAGAAGCATGTTACACACCAAGCTGAGAGACAAATGGAGACAAGGTGACAGATGTGTCAAAGAAAATCAAAAGACTGAAGTGGCACTGGTGCGGAAACACAGTAAGATCAACAAAAGAAAAGTGGTCAAAAATGTGACACATTGGTAACCAAGAAGAAGAGCACTCCTAGAATACGATTAGCACGTCATTGCCGGGAAGTTCCTTTCGTGCACCAAGGGAACGTCGAAAGAAAAAAGTCAGAAGACTGAGACAAAATTATTTACACCAGATGAAACAGAAAGAGTAAAGTGCCGCTTCAAGAGAAGTTTTATTTTTATTTTTTATAACACCAAGTGACGGGACGAACAAGTCGTGCGCCTAATGGTAAGCGACATGCCTGTCCATAACAGTTGCACTGCCACTCAGAGCTTTAAATCGTAAAGATCTGAGGGGCACTGCCATTGCGCCCGTCACCCTGAGACATAAGTTGGCAAGGCGGCAGAAGTAGGTAAGGTGGCAGTACTTCCCTGGACAAATTCTTTCACAAGGAGCTCTACTGCTACTAAACAGCAGGTGCTTAGTAAAGTAGCAAAAAAGACCAGATGATGGTTGCTCCTTTACTTCCCATTCTATTATATTTATTAAATATATATAGAGATGGAAAGAGGTATAGAGGTAGGCCAACAAGAAGGTGGGAAGACGATCTGCCCCAAGAATTGTTGCTTCTGGAGATATATGTAGGAGGCCTATGTCAGAGGACAACCTGATTAGAACCAAAACCGATGCTGATGTTAGGATTAAGAATTATTACTGTTAGAAGTAAGCATTAGGTTAAACTTAGAATTAATTAAGAAGTAATCAGCGTATAAAGGCTATTTTTATTTTTTTTAAGTCAAAGATATGCATATGGAATGGAAGGAATGCACTTTTAATGGTACACTGTTCCAGTCCTTAGGTGGCGGTATTTTCTTGGAGAACTCTTCACAAGGAGCTGTATTGCTGCTATATGCCATGTGGTGACCTCAATGAAGAAACTCACCTGGTGTATCCAACATAAATATGGTAGGATCATTAGCAATTCTCATCTTCTCATGTACACTCCTTGTAACACCAGCGACAGCTCCAACAGACAATGCATGAGCTGTACTGAGATTCTTTGATCTTAGCATATTAATCATTGATGATTTACCTACATTAGGTACTCCTATAATCATCACATTGTAATCTAACTCCTCCGCTCTATTATATCTATTTGAACCTTTTATTAAATCGACCATTAGTGGCTTCAATGTCTTAAGACCACGACAATGCTGGTCCTTTGCATTTGTAAATACAATGTTTTCGATGCTCTGTTCTGCTTTCAATTTATCTTTAATTTTCAATGTTAAAGATTTATTTATTAAGTCTTTCTTATTGAGAACTAGAATGTGGGGTTTAGCACCTGTTAATGTGTTAGTAAATATAGGATTTCTTCCTGTGAAGGGTATTCTAGCATCGTGAACTTCTATGACACAATCTACAGATTTTAGTTTTCTCTGCATCTGTTTTAAACCCTTGTTCATGTGACCTGGGAACCATCTGAGAAGATCTTTACTTACAAAAGGCAGTTTTTTACGAAAATTGTAAGCCGCGGCATCGAATTTTGCAGCCATTTCGGCGTAAAATATGTTTGTTTTGATTTCGAGGTTATGTTAAACAATATTCTTTCATATTGTATTATATAATGTATTGGCTTTATTATTTAAGAATAAACCTTGGATAGATCTCGTGCAGTTTGTCTATTTTAAAATTAATTTGGCACGAAAACGCGAAGAAAGCTAATTCACAACAAAACAAGATTATGACAGATGTCAGATGACATATATACTTTTTAATTTATTGGTTAATTTGACAACAAGGACATTATTTAAGATAAACCTGTTTCTCAAATAAATAAAAAAATTGTTTATAAGCAAACAAAAAATATTAAATAAATAGTTTTTAATGATCATAGGTTTCAAAGCTATGAACTACACTATAATTGTAAGTCAATGAACTACACACATCAAAAGTGTCTAGGGATCAAGTAAGTTTAAGAGTATTGCTGCAATTAGGGTTAATTATCATTGACTTACAATTAATTATATTAACTTTTTTGTATCGCTATTGATACTTTTTAGTGAGTTTTAACATTTAAATAAGTAATATTGTTTAAAATTCGATAATAAGAAGAAAATCGATTGTCAATGTGGTTTTGTATAAAAATGAGTTATAGCGTTTTGACAAAATCATTACAATATCTGCATCGGAACCGAAACAATTTACATTATTATGGAGAGACGACATCATTTAACCCGAGAAGTGATGATGCGAGCCGTCGGAATGTTGGAAGCTGGTTCCAGGCAACGTGCTGTGGCTTTCACTCTTAACACTACACAGAGCGTCATAAGTCGCCTCTGGACGGGCTATCGCATGACGGGCAGCGTGGCCGAGCGACATGGAGGACGATCTCGCATCACGACTCGCAGACAGGACCGGTATATCCAAAATACTGCTCGACGGAATCGTACCATGACCGCCATGATGTTGGTTACGAGGCTCCACAGCTCCTCAGGCTTGCTAATAAGCGATCAAACAATCCGAAATCGTTTACGTGAAGTGGGTCTGCGATCCCGAAGGCCGCTCAGAGTTCCACCTATTGCACCCTGCAATCGCAGGACCCGTTTACGATGGGCTCGCGAACACAGAAACTGGGAGGAAGAAGACTGGCGCTATGTGTGCTTTTCGGATGAATCCCGCTTCGGTATGAGACCGGATACAAGACGTACTCGAGTTTGGAGAACATCTGGACGTCATGAACGTTTGAGATATTGTCAGGAAGTTCATCCATATGGTGGGGGAACAATAATGATATGGGCCGGTATTTGGATCGGCGGAAGAACCGATCTCAATTGGGATCATGGGTAACCTCAATGCTCATGTTTACGCAGAGAGTATTGTTTCAGATGTTACCATCCCTTTGCGAGGCCAGTTGGGTGATTCATTTCAACTAATGCGTGACAACGCACGTCCACACACGGCTAGAGTCGTAACACGCATTCTTGCCGAAGCTCGTATCAACGTTCTGCCGTGGCCTGCTCAATCGCCAGACCTCAATCCAATTGAGCGCGCATGGGATATGCTTCAAAGAAGAGCTGTGCCGAGTATGCATACCGTACATACTCTACAACAATATTTTGACTTGTTACAAAACACATGGGCGGCCATTCCTCAAAGTGATTTTGATGAACTCATCTTAAGCATGCCAAATCGCTGTAATTGTGTGATTCGTGTTAATGGTGGAAATACAGATTATTAATTTTCTTATCTTTACAATAAAAATGAGCAAAATCATCATTTTCGCCATTTTTTTGTCATTTAATTGACGCCGTTAATTTGAGTTTTTTCCCACAATTTGCAAAAACATCAATTTTAGTTATTTTAATTAAATATAGGGGTAAGCGGTTAAATAAAACATAAGCATTAAAGTAAGAAGACGTCCTGGAAGACTGGATTTGGTAAATATTGCTTAAATAATTTTTATTTCAAAAATGTTCACTTGATCCCTAGACACTTTTGATGTGTGTATATGGGAAATCATAAATACAGCTGTAACCATTCCAAATGTTGCAAAAGTACCTGAATAGTCTTTATAAGAGACATAGTGGAGGTGCGTTTATGAAATAAAATCAATTAAAATAGCTTGAATAATATCAATTATCATTGTTCTAAGGGCGTATTTGTTCGCTACGAATTTCATCTCGCTCACGGAGTTCCCGTTGCCCCCGCGCAGCGACCACGTGCGTCAACTGTCATGTCGAAGTAGCACAGAACACTACTCATATGGCGAAGTACGCTCTGTTTAAATAGTTTTACATTTTAACTTAAATGAGAGTACCGGGCGCGTGGGCGAGGATGGCTTGACTTTGGTCTACGCGGAAGAATTCAAATGTTGTTGCTTAGTAAATCGAACTCAGATTCCCCACTAATGTACGTACGTGAAAGCGTGGTAACGAGGCGGTCGCCGCGCGAAATCTTTCGCGTCGTGTAAGTGGGTGCTTAGGTTCTAACCTTGGTTTATACTAAATCTATGGGTTCTACGCAATGATCTTATTTAATATAAAAAAAAGGATTCTACCCCGGTAAATGTTTTCTGACTTTCGTTTTGGTCTCTTTGGATGGGAATAGGAAATAAAAATAGAAGCGTCATTAATGACGTTTATATGAAAATATTTTATATATTAAATTACAATTCAATTTCTCTGAATATCGCAATCAAATAAATATTAATTATTGAAGAAGATAAGACTTAAAAATGTCTCAAACGTTTTTGTTGGAACCGGATATAATAGCGGCGGCGGAAAATGTTATGCCAGATATAAACAACGATTTAGTTTTAGCTAAAAATTTCCTGAAACGTCAGAGTGCTGCTACTGGAGATACACTGTAAGGACATTTTTAATCAATTTTAATCTGTAAGCTTAGAATAATAACGCATAGAATGATAGTTTCATATCAAACGAACTGTCACAAGTGAGGCAAAAATCAAATTCATGTAGGCTAGTTTTAGTAGTACGTTAATTTTCGGTTTTAGTGAATATTTATATAAAAATACAAGTTGAAACGCATTACTTCCTTGTGGAATGTGATGTTAGTATCTATTTTATGTTTGTCTGACGTATTTTTACATTCATTTACCGCACATTTCGTCATTTTTAGCTAAAATTCTGGAGCTGTTCGCGGTGCAAGTTGACCTTGAGTACTGAAGGCCCGCCCGCTCGTGTAGGCCCTTTGGGAGCGCTTCAATTTGCCTCACTTAGCGTGTGCGGGCTAGGTTTCGATGCGTTATTATTCTAAGTCTGTAAGTAAGTAGGTAAAATCTTCCGTTCCATCCAATTACAATCTTCGTCAATATTCTCTCTTAAGTTGTCATTTGCAAAAATCTTACTGTACTGACCAAAGTTAGTACTTATCTTTATCGTTTATCATAATTTAATAATGATATAATGTATATACAAGTTTGTTAAAAAAAATAATTTTGTGATGCCAGCGATGACCTACGGCTCTGTGATGTCGTAGGTTATATATGGGCCTATATGGGCCTCATAAAAAGCTCAAAGTCACTCAACGAGCTATAATAATAATAATAATACTTTTTTATTTCTCCACAAAATACAACAACAAATAAGAAGTACTTAAACAATCTTAGTAATTTTGTAGGAGCTGGTGCTTGCTATAGGCTTAACACCTGTGCTACAAGTCACCAGGCCCCAGCCCTTGCAAATGAAACACATGTCTAAGTATACATATACCAACCACAAATTATATGTATGAGAGAAAAAAAAATAAAAAATAAATAAGTTACGGTAACAGAAAAACCTTCGAGATAATAATTCTTCTATGTGTGCGCGCTGTGTGTGTGTGTGTGTGTATATACATATATGTGTGCGCGCGAGTGTGTTTGGGTGTGTGTGATTTGGGTACATGTGTGTGTGTGTGTGTGCATGTAAGTGTGTGTACCAGTAACGGATCATTAAGTTTGTGTCAAACTATTAGATGAAGCAACTTTTCCGTATCATCATAATTTAATTTTTGCAACCAGTTTGCCAACCTCTTTTTACATACGGAGCGAGCAATGCTCGGCATTTCTCTACGTGATCGAATCAGAAATGAGGAGATCCGTGGAAGAACGAAAGTGGCCGACGTAGCAGGATTAGCAAGTTAAAGTGGCAGTGGGCACAGCACATGGCTCGTAGAGCTGACGGCCGTTGGGGTTCTCGAATGGAGACCACGAATCGGAAGGCGTTCAATGGGATGGCCCCTTACTAGATGGACGGATGACCTGGTAAGGGCAGCGGGCAACCGATGGATGCGCGTCGTCTGACGGGCTAGTCTGGAAATCTTTGGGGGAGGCCTATGCAATGGCGGATTTGCAGTCTTGGCCGCCCTGGGCCCTAGGCCATGTAGTCAGTACCAGCCGCCCCTTTCTCTTTTCAGATTAAGGGGCGCACGCCAGTAAAGCGCCCAGCCGGCATGATTTTTTCCGACATCTTCAACATTTATCGTCATATTTCAGCCAACTTACACAAAACTTAAATAAATTATACACTTAAACCACCCTCATGAATTACTCTGTCTATTGGTGGAAACCGAATTAAAATACGTTAAGTAGTTTTTGAGTTTATCGCGATCAGCCAGATAGACGCGGTAGTGATAATATGTAGTGATGTAGTGATTATACATTACATCATAGATATTTAACATATATATATTTTATATATAAAATGCACGAAAGTGGTTTAGGAAGATTATTGTTACACGATGCGGTGCCGTGCGGCCCGCCATAATGTGCGCGAGCCTTTGGAATATGTAGGTACTTTGAGTTATTTCTTGTTGTCATCAGTGAATTTTTTGTCACGATTGGCCGCCCCTAAAATCTGGCCGCTTTAGGCCCGGACCTACTGGGCCTTAGGGCAAATCCGCCACTGGGCCTATGTTTAGCACTGGACGTCTTCCGCCTGATATGATGATGATGAGAGTACAAGTGTTCTAATGTTTT